GGCATTGCTGCCAGCGTCTTTTCGCTATTTTTCTTATTTTTGGTGGTCACTTTGTAGATTTTTGGAAGTCTTTCGGCAGGGCGAGCAAAAAGACACGTCTACGCGGTTCGGTGGTTGCAATCTAAGAAGAAGATACCGATCAAAAATCATCATGTTAAATCAGAGATTGCCAGCTGAGTCCTACTATGCTCAATATCCAATGACTCCAGTGCAGATACAGAAAGTGTCGAAACCACTTGCGAGCATCGTTTCCAAACCTGGTTACAGCAAAACAAAACATGCACAAATTGTGCCCATGCTTACCTGCTCAGATCGCTAATCTTGAAAGCGTATCTCAAAACGCCAACTTAGTGATTCACAGACCCCAAAACGAAGCTAGCTCGAATGCACGAACCGGTACTGTTCCAAGAACTCGCCCGAATACTAGACCTAGTACCCGTTCAGCCACGACATCACCCAATGTCAGTTCACAAATTGCACGTTCACTACGTTCTACACGCACACAAAGAGTAAGTAACATTTCAGAAGGGAGAATTCATGAACTTATAACAAATGCCTTAGAATCGTACCAAACCCGAATAACGGCAACCTTAACCGATCAAATTAACTCGGCAATGCAAAATCTTAAGGTACTGTCCTCGAATGGGATGCGTCAGCAGAGCAACTGCCAAGGCAGACTTTCGAGAATAGCTTTTCCGCTTACCCAATATGGCTAATAACCGTTCAGAGGAGTACCGTCGCGAAGATCACGTCACTGGATTGCTCACTGGAACTTAAAGTTTTCTGGATCACCTAAGGATATTTTCATTGAAGATTTCATACATCTTGTAAATTCATTGACTCGTCAAGCGTTGAATGGGAACTTTGATTTATTATATCAGTACGCAATTCTTTTGTTTGTAGGCCCAGATTTGTCCTTTTATTGGCGATGCCATAGAGTGTCTAAGCAAACTGTCTCAACTGTGTTCTCCTTTGAGGGAAAGATATAAGGATCAGAAGTCCGACCAAGACATAAGAGATGCGATGCGAAGAAGAAAGCAGGGAACTAATGAATGTTTTGACGATTTCCTCGATTCTTCTTGGACATTTCAGATGCACTATCGCAACCTATGTCAGACTCAGAATTGGTTCAGGCGGTTCGGAATAATTTGAGTTCAGATCTAGGACATGAATTATTACATATAGATACACCCACCATAGCGTCGTTACGAAGACAATGTCATCGTCATGAAGACTTCTTTAATAATTTAAGAGTGAGAAACAATGCACGTCACCCAGCACCAAGGCGAACCGTAAACGAGATAAATGTAGATGAGGAAACTGAGAAAAATACTCAGGAAAGTGATTCACCGATTTTCGCAATTCGCAATGACAATCAAGTTAAGTGTTGGAATGGTGATTCTGTAGGTCATCGCGTAGTTAGCTACGGGTGCGGAGCTCCAGATACCGATAAACCTTCTTGTCCAACGTGTTCACCAAAATCGGGAAACTCAAAACCGGACCCCCGTGTCAGTCCGAGAGCGGATGCCCGAATGTAAACTCGGATGTCGAAACTTCTAAAACACCAGATTGTACAAGCATATTTGACATATCAATTAAAATACCTGGCCTTTCCAAAACTCGGAAATTCAAACCAAATCATATTCGGCTTTAAGAATATAAAGAGACTAGAAGGAGAATATTTGATGGCGATGTAGAAAAGGATACCATAAGTCGCGCAGCAATAAGGTTACGCAAATTTTGGAAATCAAAGCCTAGGTATCACAGTTACATGATATCGAGATTAACCCTAAATGTTAATGACATACGTCCTTTTGTGAATATAACTCTGTTTGACCAACCGTATTTAGCTTTGCTTTATATTGGGACAAACAAGAGCGTAGTAGGAGGTTCCCTAGAACTCGTTAGAACTCGTGGCAACGTACAACGACGGAACAAAACAGACAATTCTAGGCACTATCACAGTTCAGATGAATTACAACTCCATAGAGGCAGAAATGGAATTCTTAGTTGTACCATCGATAACCCAAGACGTTATTTGCGGAATCAATTTCTGGGAAAAGTTCGGAATTTCAATTTCAGTAGGATTTACCACAAATGAGTTAACTGTTAAGGAAGAGTCGCCCAATCTAAACTTATCGTCAGCAGAGAAAAGTAGATTAAAAAGCATTTCCTTCAAGACCGTCTTGGCCTAACAAACTTAGTCGAACATTCCATCGATACCGGCAATGCCAAGCCGATAAAGCAGAGGCATTACCCTTTATTACCGGCGCGTGAAAAACTTCTTTGCGTAGAGATCGACAGAATGATTAATTTAGGAGTAATAGAAGAGGCACATTCGTCATCCTGGTCACCCCCAATCGTGCTGATAGTCAAGCCAGATAAAGTTAGATTTAGTCTCGAGTCTAGAAAGGTTAACGATGTTACGATAAAAGATTCGTATCCCATTCCGAATTTAGAAGGATTGATAACCCGTCTTCCACCAGTTCACTGCATTTCAAAAATCAATTTGAAAGATGCCTTTTGGCAGATTAATTTAGATGAGGAGTCCCGATCAAAAACAGCCTTCACAGTACCAAATAAACCATTATACCGATTGAGGCGAATGCCTTTTGGACTGTGCAACGCCCCTTTGACAATGTGTCGCCTTATGGACCAAGTCATTCCATATCAAATGAAATCGCACACATTTGTTTTCTTAGATTACCTTCTAATCATGTGATCATTTAAAACATCTCGCCGAAGTTGCATGTCGTCTGTGCCATGCTGGACTAACTATCAACATTAAAAAGATTCAGTTTTGTTTTAAGAAAGCCGAATATCTAGGTTACGTTGTGGGTGAAGGGACACTTCAAGTCAACCCCAAAAAGGTTATTGCTTTCTCTGAATTCCCCATCCACAACACTTAAGAAGATTTCTTGGGATGTGTGGCTGGTATCGTCGATTTATACCCCAATATTAAACGATAACATTTCCTCTGACTGATCTACTTCGTGAAAAAACATTTACCTGGACCGACGAAGCACAACTTGCTTTTGACGAAGTCACCCTGATTATGAAAAGCCGTTTATAATACAATGCGATGCATCCATGTGTGGTATAGGAGCAGTGTTGGCACAATGCGATGAATCAGACAATGAGCGTCCCATCGCATACATGTCGCAAAAATTAAACGGTCCTCAACGCAACTATACAGTAACTGAGTTGGAGTGCCTTGCCGTGTTGTTAGCTATCAGAAAGTTTCGCATGTAAGTGGAGGGTCATAAGTTCAAAGTCGTTACCGATCATTCACCCCTACAATGGCTAATGAAGCAGTCAGGCCTCAGGGGGAGACTAGCCCGTTGGGCAATCAAGTTACAAGGATTTATTTTTGAAATCGAGCACCGCAAGGGAACTCAAAACGTCGTACCCGACGCGTTGTCATGTTCGTTTCAAGAAGAAATCATGTCTGTAGAGATCCTTCCAGAGATAGACTTGCATTCGGATGGGTTTCAATCCGAATCAGAACTCAGAAATACCAGATTTCCGTGTCGTTGACGGCATCAGGAAGTTCCGAAGTTGATGAGTCTGAATTTAAGCTGTTATTTCCAAGCGAACTGAGGATAGGCGCAATTCAGTCGGCACACGACCAACCAACCTCATCCCATTGCGGAGTTGCCAAGTGCTTGGAGCGACTAAAAAGACACTTCTATTGGCCCAACATGGTAATAGATGTTCGAAATTACATTGCTCAGTGCGAGATATGCAAAACGGCTAAACATCAGCCACTAGCGAAAGGCCGTTTCAACGTATTTATATGGATTTCATTGGTTCATTTCCGAGGACGAAAAATAGAAATATTGGCATTTTAATTCTTCTAGATCATTTCTCTAAATTTACTTGGCTAAAACCAGTAAAAGGGTTCACATCAAAGAAAGAAATCGATTACTTAAGAGATGAAATTTTTGCATGTTTCAGAACTCCGGGGGTATTGGTTAGCGATAATGGAACTCAGTTTAAAAGCCATGACTTCGCAGCCCTTACATCCAAATACAGAATCCAACATTCACTGGTGCGTACGCTCCTCAATCAAACGTAACCGATCGATTAATGCCGCCCTGCGATCATATATTCGATCCGATCAAAGGTTGTGGGATATGTATCTTGCGAGTATAAACTCTGCATTGAGAAACTCAGTTTACCAATCGATTGGAAAGTGCCCATATTATGTAGTCTTTGGCCAGCACATGCTAGCATACGGTAAAGATTATATGGTGCTACGAAATCTTCAGATGCTTACCGAAGGTTCAGCCAAAATAGATAGAACAGATGAATTTCCGAGAATCCGATCCAATATTGCAAAGCATATGACAAAAGCGTACGAGAAAAACAGAAACGAATATGACTTGCGTTCTCGGTATCGAACCTTTGAGGTAGGTCAGGAGGTCATTAAACGAAATTTCGTATTAAGCAACCAGGCTACACACTTTAATGCCAAGCTTGCACCCATTGGGGTTAAAGCTAAGCGAACAGACGCATAGTTTACAGCGAAAAGTTCAAAAAGTCAACGCGTGTCCAACATATACCACGCGCTCAAAGCCCTGTAGTAAAGGCAATCGATTCCGCCGTGTCTGTTAGACACTTCGCAATACACGCAAGTTCTGGAATATTCCAATCTGAAGGTGAGCCGAAACAACTACAAACGCAAGATCGACTCTAATCGTCTTGTGTAGATTCCAGCAATCAACCAGGCAGCGCCAGATCAAGGTCTCAGCAGGCTGTGTAATCACAGTTTGCGAACCCCAAGTCTCGGCCAGCAGCGGAACCCAAGTGGCGTTCCCACAACTGCGCTGCTGAAATTGCCCACTCCAACCGCGGGTCTCAGCCAGCTGAGGGATAGCAAAAAAATGAGTCAGGCTACGCCCAAAATCATCCTTTCCCTGTGGACAGATATTTTAAGGTATTTGTAGCCACGCCGATGCCCTAGTTCGGTTCCAATCTAACTCTCCCGTCTCATCTAGTTACCTCTGGATCAGCCCCTAATCGTGCAAGGAGCCAACTCGCGCTCGCGCTTTGATCGGCAAATTGTGCGGAATTGGGGCAGTTTTGATCTGGAGCGCTGACCTACACCAAGGGAATCACATTGGGCAGCAACATAACCCAACATAGGCTCGTACGCAACATATCCTCACATCGGCAACCCTCGTGCACATAAGCATTTGGCTCGGTTGTATACCGCGCGGCAGCAGCCATCTCTGCATATTTCGACCCTGTTCCGACAACAGCGATGAACGGGAACATGACGCTTATGATTATTTAGCCAAAATCGACTAATAACGGCCACAGAACACCGCACATGCTGCGTCCCGCCTAGTAGCGAACATTTTTAACATTTTGAAAGAAGTTGTGAGGAACCGTAAGACGGCCCTCACAATTATATATTTAGTATATTTTGTAGACATGTAAGATTTTTGTAGCCATGAGGAATATTTTGTAGCCATGTAAGACTCATGAAGAGATATAGCCAAAACCGACCTTGTAGCCACATAATATTATTATTAGTTTAGCTTTTTCATAGCCAACGCACCCAACACCGCCAAACCATCGAACGCCTGAGCGCAACCAACACGCTCTCGCTCTCTTCGAACAGTTCCAACACGATCTCGCTCTCTTCAACACACACTTCGAACATCAGCAGCTGCACACACCTAAACCATCGAACAGTTTGAACACCTGCACAAAGCTAACACACACACAAGTTTTTCATCGCACGATCGAACCAAATTGCAACCAACCCGACCAATGTTTTCGAGCAAGGGGAAATAATTTCGCACGATCGAACCAAATTGCAACCAACCCGATTGATGTTTTCGAGCAAGGGGAAATAGTTTCGCACGATCGAACCAAATTGCAACCAACCCGACCGATGTTTTCGAGCAAGGGGAAATAATTTCGCACGATCGAACCAAATTGCAACCAACCCGACCGATGTTTTCGAGCAAGGGCAAATAATTTTGCCTGAAAAATGCCGAAGCGCCAGCGCAGCGGCATCGACGCCGATGCCATGCAAAATATGGGGTGCGTGCGCCGATATCAAAGAGAAGCAAAGGCAATTACTCTTGAGGCTTCGTGACATGCCAGGCTTAAATCGTGAGATTTTGCAAAAAACCGGGAAACCGCCCCGCCGTGAAAATTGGTGTAAAATGCGTGAAAAGGTGTAATACGATGTCAACCGACAGTGGCGAAGTTGATGGAGTGTACGACCCTGTTCCCGCTGCGGAGGCATGGGAAATCAACTGGATTTGCTGTGGACGAAAACGTAAGCGTCCGCTGTATATTTTATCGAGATATTTTCCGGAGCGTGAGTTATAGTATGTAATTTTTAGTGCTGCTGTTAGTCATCCAATATTCAGATAAGATTTAAATAAACAGTTGATGTGTTCGCTTTGGTTGTTCCAAACGGAATAATTTTATTGTGGCTTGAGATTCAAATCAAACCTCCGCCAAAGAATTTAATGGGTTTTACAATTATGTATGTGTGTGTAAGTAAATGCTAACAAAGTATTTTCTAGAGCTCTGCTGAGTGGGTGTCGTTTAGCAACATCCTGCATTGTGCTGATGTTGCATTTCTCATGTGGGACAACGAACGGCTAGCTGCCGGTCACTGTCCAGTTGAAAGAGGGTAGCACGGGGAGGTTTAGGCGGTGGCGTAGTCGATGGTACCGGTATGGTAACTCCTTCCCCCCTAGAATGGAGCGATGGCCACATCTGTGGTATATCCAGAGCGACATTGTGCAGAGAAGCATTGGGGGTGTAGATTGTTTTTGTTTTTCTAATTCTCCATATTACCAGTACTGTTATCTTTAGAAGCACCAACATACCGTATATTACAGAAAAATGTGTTTCCTGTACTTTTCCTATGTACACTACTTTTTTGAGGTTTCTCATATCTTCGAGATGTAAAACTTCTAGGTTTAACTCCTGCTTGGTGTTATTTATAAGTATCTGTTTACTTATTGCAGTGGTAAGTACTATATGATCCTCTTTATGTTCCATAACTTGGCCATCATACTTTATGCCACTTATTTCGATCGAACAGTTTGCATATTTGATTGCTAATGCCCCCGATACTGTAATATCTTCTCCACACGTGTTGTTTACAGGTAAGTTCAAGGCGTTGAAAATGAATATGTGTCCATCCTCAGGTGCCAAAACCATTTCTCTCCCCTCTAGATTTACTGAATCATATTGGTGGTTTGTTCGTTAAAATCTTCCTCAAGCACTCCTTTCCTTTTATCTCAACACCCAACTCTTCACTCTCGCAAATAAAAGATTCATGAACTTTTAAACATTGGTTGTTAAAAAATTTTATTTATTAATTGCTACATAATTTGGTAATACTAATAAATGTGTCCCATTAATTGGAATTGGTATAACATGATATAATTGATAGACATTTGGCTCAAAAATTGGAGCTCTTACCCTAAATATTATGTCTGTTTCATTTATTTGTGCCTGTATATTTATTAGTTCATATACTTGTTCATTTGAAACAATTTTGAGCCCTTGACTCTCGACAAACCGTATAATTCTATCTAATTCTGTCTCTGCTAAAATGAATTTAGGCACAATGCGAAGTTTTGCTAATAATATTCTCTCCGCAATATTGTTCAAGTGCACTGCTAACAAATCAATACTGTAACTTATCCTATTCAAATGCTGGAGCATATGTATTTCATTGTGCTCTTATGTTAGTTTCTTAAATACGTTATTCTTATAATTTTTTATAAACAAATTTATATCTTCCTGCTCCTTATTTATATGCTTAGTAATTTTCGTAAACCTACTCAAGGTTTCCTGATAAAAGGTTCTTTGCTCGTCCGCTTCTTGTGTAAGAAACCTTGTTTCGTTTCTTAATTCTTTTAATCTGTTTCCTATTTTCTCCTCATCATACGCGTCCATATTTCCCGAAACTATTTTTATCATGCCATTTAAATACCCATTAAAAATTCCTCTTTTGACCCTACATCCCCTTTTTCCAACTCCATGGGTTCTTCTCTTCTCTCATTGAGTTTTCGAGTCCTTTCCTGTTTTTGTTTTTCCAACTTGTCCTTAACCTCCTTATACATTTCATCCTGATAAGCATTTAACTTCCTTAAGTACTCATGCTCCGTATCAAAATTGATTTCCCGTTCAAAAACGTGTGTTCTCCCCGAGAACAATTCGAACGGCTTCAACTTCGTACTGGAGTGTATTGAGTTATTATAAGTTAGGAAAACTTCATCTAAAACTTCCTCATGCTCATTTTCTAGTTTTAAGTCCTTCCTTGTTTTCATAATTATTCTATAAATTTCTGTCAGTGTTGAATGAAGCCTTTCAACCGGTGAATTGCTGGACGATTGTTAAAACGACGTCACATGCAATTCAATTCCGTACTGTCTACAGAAATCCCTGCATAATGCCGAGGCATACTCTGCGCCTTGGTCACATATGATCTTTTTAGGAACACCGTACTGACTTATGAACTTCTTCATTGATTTAACAATATTTAAACTATCTCTTGCCGGTATGGTGTACCCCACGGCAAACCTTGAAAACTTGTCTTTTATTGTTATTACGTAGTTTTTGTTGATTGTGTATAAATCGGTATGAACGATGTCAAGTGGCTTGCACGGGGTTTCCGTATTTTGAAATACCACCTTTTGCGGTTGCCGATCATATTTCAATGTCTGGCAAGTTTCACACGCATTAATGACCTGTGTTACTCGGTTTTTCATAAATGGAAAATAAATGTCACGTCTCATCTTCCAAAACGTTTCATCTATTCCCCTATGATTACCTGAGGTATGATACCTTTCTATTTCTTTTCTTTGTTCACTCATATCTGTTATTTCCCGCATGAAGGTAAGACATCGTACTGCTTTATACAGTTTGCTCTTGCAAAAATAATTCTGAAACGCTTCTTCTACCTCTTTAAAGACTTCATCTGACGTGTATATCGCACACATCCTGTACGGTTTAAGTGAACTCCTTTTCTGTTATTGTCCTTCTTATCTTGTTCCTAGGTGTCACCACTGTTCTGCCTGGTGTCGGCCCAACCTCAAATATTAACTGGATATTAAAGTCATTCAGTGGCTTTTCTGCCACATGAATGCTACTTAATTCCAGTTCACCTCTATGACCCGCACAAGTGGCCTGAGTTGACTCCAGTTCACTGTTGTGAACTTGTAGTTCGATTCTGCTCAATGCGTCTGCCACGACGTTTTGTGAGCCCTTTTTGTAGGTCACCTCGTAGTCATATTTCAATAGTTGCAGCTTCCACCTCACCAACTTAGAATTGGGTTCTTTAAATCCCATTAACCAAGTTAGTGGGCGGTGATCTGTGACTATTGTGAATTTGTGACCGAACAAGTACGGTCTGATGTGTTTTATACCCCAAACTATGGCAAGCATTTCCTTCTCTACTGTGCAATAATTTACTTCAGCCTCATTTAACGTTCTGCTCGCAAATGCGATTGGGTGATCACTTCCCATTGCTCCTTGTGATAACACCGCACCAATAGCAAAATTGCTAGCATATGTGGTCAAAATACAAGGCTTAGTAAAATCTGGATAACTCAACAATGGATCATTGCATAACAACGTCTTGCAATATTCAAAGGTTTTTGTATATTCCCCATCTATGATTATTTGTTGTTTCCCTTTTAGTCTCTTAGTTAATGGTTTGGTTATTTTTGCAAAATCTTTTATGAATTTCCTGTAATACCCAATGAGTCCAAGAAATGACTTTATTTACTTTGGTGTTTCGGGCAAAGGAAAAAGCTTTATGGCCTCAATCTTCTTTGGGTTTGGTCTGACTCCTTCTTGTGTCACTACATGCCCTAAATACTCTATCTCCTTCTTTAAAAAATCTGACTTATCTGTTTGAAGTTTAAAATTTGCTCCACTTATTCTTTAAAAAACTGTCCTCAAGTCTTGCATGTGACTTTGTAAGGACAGGGAATACATATGGAATTATATCATCCATGTAGACCAGACAAATCTTGCCTATTAACTCTCCCATCAGGTTATTCATCACTCTTTGAAACAACGCCGGAGCATTTGTCAGTCCAAATGGCATCCC